ATAAAACATCTTTATGTAGGCCAGTGTAGTAATTTAACTCTGTTATAATTTAAATTTAAATGTTATATTTAAATAATTTAAATATATTTTATTTTTAATTTTTGCTTTCCATCATCTCTTGCCATTGCCATAGTGATTTGTTGGAATCAAACCTGGTCATTATGCACGACAGACAGGAATCCTATCACTATTTAGTTTGCATATGGAAACATTGTGATTTCACATAAATTAAGAAAATACCATGATGAGGATTATTATATCCTCTGATCCCTAAAAGCCTACTGTCCACAGAATCTATTCCACATCTGGTTTCCAACAATTATCATACGCATTATGTTTTTGTGCAATCCCAGTCCATTTTTCTCGGGTGAATCTCTGCTCCTTTAGATTATTTTCTTCTGTCATTGCTTTAGTTCAATTCACAGATTTTCTAATGGGATTTAAATCTGGGATTTGTAGAAGCTAGTTGGAAACACGTACTGTCAGAGATTTTCTGAAGTAATCCTCAGGCTGCTTTAGTATTGGAAGACAAACCCACAACTAAAGACTATTTTAAAAGTTCCAAAGCACTGAAACCTTTTATTGTTTGCACAAGTTAGCAACTAAACAGACGACGACGCTAACTCCAACTGCAGATGAGAAGTGAGCATTTAATTCCTGACCTTGTCTCCTCTATTTCTGTAGGAGATTACCCTGCATGCACCTGTTCCACCAAGCATGTGTGGACCAATGGTTGGCCACCAGCAGGAAATGCCCCATCTGCAGAGTGGACATTGAGACCCAGTTGACCCCTGACAGTTGATAGCACCTATCGACTCTTGTTAATTCTCCATTGCCTCTCACCTGAGGAGAAGCTCTGCTAAACATCCCCCCACCCTTCCTCTGCATGTTCCACCAAGCATGTGTGGACCAATGGTTGGCCACCAGCAGGAAATGCCCCATCTGCAGAGTGGACATTGAGACCCAGTTGACCCCTGACAGTTGATAGCACCTATCGACTCTTGTTAATTCTCCATTGCCTCTCACCTGAGGAGAAGCTCTGCTAAACATCCCCCCACCCTTCCTCTCCCGCGCTCGCGTGGGGGGGGGGGGGGGGGGGGGGGGGGGGGGGGGTTAAAAAAGCACACTCACCTACAACACAATGGGAACGGGTTGACGAACAGACACGGTAGCTGGATGGAAGGTTGGTTTCAATGGACTGAAGGGCAGCAGCGCACACATGTGGACACATGAGAGAGTGAGTGGGAGTCATCTGGAGTGAGTGAGCAAGCCTAACAGTGCATGCTTTTACAACGAGAAATTAAAAAAGAGAGAGAACACTCTCTACCAACCTACCAACTCAGTGTGGTGTATTAGTGTCATCTCTCCACCACAACATCTAAAACCTGCCCCCAGGCTTGTGGAAAATCCTTTAAGCTGCCCTCTGCCCAAGCCCTCTGCACATCTGTACAGAACATTATCAAATGATTAGCATGAGGTTGTTTGGTGTGAACTCTCGTAGCTGAATGGTTGTGGTGTAATGGAGTATAGTACTGAATAAGTTTTTAGTAACAGTGTTGTGTAGCAAAGCAAAAGCCTTCTGAGAAATATGTTTGTGAAAAATAAAACCTACAGAGAGGGCGGAGACAGCTCTAACCGTGCTACTACTTGGTGTGTTAACTCTTGGGCAGTGAGAGAACGACCTAATTGTGTCTAAAAAGGAAAAAGGCCAAAAACCTCCCTCTTTCTTGTCAAACATGGTTTTGGATTTACAGTCAGTAGATGCCATCAGAGTTTAATGCAAAACCCGCTAACTGCAGGCATGGCTTCAGTGATGTGTGTAGTGTCATAGTCGTAGGCCTCCATAATTTAGGGCGTTCGTACTGTGGAGCCGTAGAAACAGTGCATGTGAAGCGTATACTGCGCTTTAAATTTACCTTTAAGGTCTTAATCTGTGATTTAGTTAAATTTGTGTTATAATAATTTTTAAAAAGCTACGAGAACCAGAAAAAAAATTCAGAGGCATCTGACAGCAACAGCAAATACGAAATAGACGTCATAACAAAGACATCTAAAGCCAGGACAAGCTGCAAGTATTGGCTTGTTTTTACTTTGACATTACTGTAACAACTACTGTGGTTAATACATAAACCTGGAACTTTAAACTCTCTTAAACAATCTTACAAATTGTATTTCACTACACAGATATAGAAAAATACACTATATTACCAAAAGTATTCGCTCACCTGCCTTGACTCATACTATGAACTGAAGTGCCATCCCATTCCTAACCTAGAGTTCAATATGATGTTGGTCCACCTTTTGCAGCTATTACAGCTTCAACTCTTCTGGGAAGACTGTCCACAAGGTTGAGGAGAGTGTTTATAGGAATTTTTGACCATTCTTCCAAAAGCGCATTGGTGAGGTCACACACTAATGTTGGTCGAGAAGGCCTGGCTCTCAGTCTC